TGAAATATCGCGATATTTCAGTGTATCTATATTTTCTTACACCCCTATCCGTAATATTTGAAGCAGAGAGGAGCACGGAGCGGTTAGTCTGCCTGCTGGCGTTAATCGTATTAATGTCAAGTGCCAAAAAATAATGGATTAATGTTTTTCTGACGATTAATTGCACACGATACGATTATGCCCAACTCTACTGTTTACATCCAGAAAACACAACAGAGTCATATTTCTGTGGGTTCAGGTCAGATTTGTGACTTTGTGAGTTAAAACTGTCGACTGAAAAACTTTGTGTGGCTGCCGCACATTCTCACAGCAGGTGAAAGTGTGTGTAAATAAACGCACACTTTCACACAACGTTGGTTTTTATACATCACAACGTGGGTGTAGAACCTGGTGTACGTAACTTTTTTATGTGTAGTTTATACATGAGGCCCCTGGTGTGAGTCATAATTTAGTGAGTCACCTGTATACCTCCAGGTATTCTTCGAGGAATTGATACGGCCCGAGGTCTGTACTTCCTGCTGACCCCCGTGGACCCCTCCACCCTCAGGAAGGTCAACTGCCTCCTCCTGGGGGCGATTAGCCTGCCTTCGTACATCCTCACTGCACAGGTCAGGTGACAGATGATCACAAACACAGCCTGATGAATCGGGTCTTATTTGGACTTTGTGTTTGTCTTTCAGCCTGGTTTTGAAGAAGCCTTGCCTTATGTGACCTCAAACTACAGCTTTGATCTCACCGGAGCAGGAAAGCTGCGAACCTTCAAAGGACTGACCAGGCCCTCTCACCTGGCACAGCAGTAACAGGTCTGCGTTACTTCCTGTCTGCTCGGGTCAAACAAGGACACGGTGGTCCGTAACTGGTTCTGAGCTGAAGCTGAGTTTGTGGGACTTCAACAGCTCTGCAGGAGGAGACAGCCGCCATCTTCTGGTTGTCCACTGTGATGGCCACAGGTTCTGCACCGGGACTTTTCTATCTGCTGATAGTGACATCATACCAAGCTCCTTTATGGTGTTCCCATTCCACAAGTTCAACTGTTGGTTTTTAACAACTACACTTTGATTTCTGCCTCCTGCTTGAAGGTCCTGCTGTTTTGGAAGCATGTGAGTAAAGAAAGGAGCAGACTGAACAGGTTTAATGGACCGAGCCTCGCTTCAAACCGTCTCAACAGATCGTTTTTCWCTTTTCCACACTGACCTGTGTGAGCATGAAGAATAAAAAATAAAGGTTTAAATAATAGTACGCTGCAAAAACTGTCCACCTAACCAAGTTTTAAAATCTTATATCAGCCAAAAAGTCTTTTTGATCTTGTTTTCAGACTGATTTACTAAACAAGAACTG